CAGTCTATTCCATGCCTCTGTGTCTCTAGATCTATTTAGTTCACCAGTTTATTTTGGTCATTAGTCTCCACAAATGTGGGAGATCATGCGGTATTGCTCTTCTCTGGCTGCCTTATTTTGCTTAATGTAATACTCTCCAGGTCCCTCCATGTTATCTCAAAGGGTAAAGAGATCCTTCTATTTTACTGCTGCATAGTATACCATGGGGTAAATGTGCCACAGCTATTTTTTACCCACTCATCTACTGAAGAACACTTTGGCTGTTACCAGATGATAGCTATTGTAAATTGTGCTGCTCTGACCATGGGGGTACATACATTCTTTCTGATTGATGTTTCAGGTTTCTTAGGATATACGTACTCCTAGTAGTGGGATGACTGGGTCAAATGGGAGTTCCATTGCTAATTTTTTGAGGAATCTCCATAATGTTTTCCATAATGACTACACCAGTCTGTATCCCAACTGGCACTGTACGAGGGTTCCCTTTTCTCCACATCCTTGCTAGCACTTGTCATTTGTTGATGACATCCATTCTGACAGATGTGAAGTGATATTACATTGCTGTTTTAATTTGCATCTCTGATGATTGGTGGTGACTTTGAACATTTTTTCATATGTCTATTGGCCATCTGTATGTTTGCTTTGGAAAAGTGTCTATTTAGGTCCTTTGCCAATTTTTTTAATTGTATTGATTTCTTCATTTTGTTCAGTTGTTTGAGTTCCCTATATACTTTGGAAAGTAACTCCTTATTGGATGTATCAATGACAAATATGTTCTCTCAGGCAGTGGGCTCTCTTTAGATTTAGTTGGTTGTTTATTTGTTTTGCAGAAGCTTTTTATTTTGATGCAGTCCCATTTGTTTATTTTCCCCTAATATCCATTTGCCCTAGGAGATGTATCCATAAACATATTGCTCTGAGAGATGTCTGATATTTTGCTGCCTATGGAACCCAAATCTTTGTAATAGTTCTCTATTTTCTTCTTCTGTTATGAAATTATTTCATTATCACATAAATCCTAAATGAATTCCCCTATGTGGGTTTATACTGTCTAATTCATAAATCAGTGAGGCAGGCTATAAAGTTAGACTATTCTGAGTCTTTTGAAAATCAAATGTGCCTATTTTACACAATAAATTATTTTTCACTCCACAATGTATTATTAGCTGAATCTGATAGACAAAAATATGCATTTAAGTCTTTCCTTTTTAAGTCATTGACTTGGGTCCTTGGAATCCTTATATTAAAATGTGGCCGAATATATTTAAAGTGAATTATAAAATTTTGCTTCCATAAATACAGGAGGACATCAATTATGAATTGTTTTGATCTGCTACTAATGCAATCACTTTAAATTAACAGCTTTTTTTAGAAAAGAGTACATCCCTCTTTTCTACCTACTGATGCTGTTTTAGCCACATTATTAATGACATGAAAAAAAGAGATGGAAGGAAGAAATCTGGTTTGTGGTGGACCCAAAATACCCCAAGTCTTAGTTGGTTGAGCAAAATATAAGATCACTTTTCTATATTGATTAAGAAACCCTCTTAGCCAAAACCGGTTTGGCTCAGTGGATAGAGTATTGGTCTGTAGACTGAAAGGTCCCAGGTTTGATTCCGGTCAAGGGCATGTACATTGGTTGCGGGCACATCCCTGGCATGGGGTGTGCAGGAGGTATCTGGTCAATTTTTCTCTCTCATCGACGTTTCTAGCTCTCTATCCCTCTTCCTTCCTCTCTGTGGAAAATCAATAAAATATATATATTTTTTTAAAAGCCGTCTTATTTGATGATAATGTGTTTTCTTCCAAAATTGCTCTATTTTTTCCTGTTACTTGTACACATGCATATACTATGGGGACATGAGGTTACAAAAGACGGGATCAGGATTTGCCAGACAGAAGTAAAAGGACAGTTTAGCTATTGCAATAACTGTTAAGTAACCCCAATGCTTCATGTGATTATTTATGTAATAGGATCGTGTTTTTATCTATAAATTGTGCATCATCAGTACATAATATGGTGATTATTAATAGATACTCATGTGGGACTGTTCTTGCATGTTGAAGATTCAAAATATGAAATTACTGAAAAGTGAAAATTAAAGTATCTTCATAATTTTAAGCATTACACTTAAGTAGTTATGACAACTATAACAATGATTTAGAGACACATCATCATATATGAAATTAGGAGAAAGAAAGAAAATAGCAAAAGCAAACTGAGTTCATTATCAAAGATCCATATTGAAAATTCTACTTGTCCAAATTTATTTGTTCATGCAGGAGTTCTCAGCTATGTAGTTTACTTTCACCCACTTCTCATAAGAGTAAGGGGACAATTATAGTAGAAGAGAAAGTCATCAGCAGTTTCCTTTCCACCAGGACTCCCTCCCATTGAAATCTTGACACAGCCATAGCTGAGAATCTTTATCAAAGAGTGGTAAAAAAATGTGATGTGAAAAAAGTACTGGAGAAGTTCAACCATTACCAGTAATGTAATAGCTACAGTTGCCCTTAGCATTGTCTATACATTAGAATAACTGGGGGGGCGGGGGGAGATTTTGAAAATTCTGATGACTGAATCAACCCAGAGATTCTGTTGTGACTGGCCTGGAGTGCAGCATAGGTACTTGGAATTTTTTTTCTTCTAGACTATAGGTGCTAAAACAAAATCTCTGTGTTTTAGTGTGTTATGCAGGAAACTTAAGAGAGTAAATAAAGAAACATTCATAGCTTTTATATTTTAATCATACTACTTTTTAAATAGCTCTAATGTTTCTGATTTCTATAACTAGAAGGTAGATTTCTATACTAGAAAAGTTTTCCTTATTTGTTTTCCTCTATTTGAATCAATCAGATGTCATCTGAAATTTGTTTTTTTAATTTAAAAAAAAATCTCTGTTTAAATGGACAGGCATTAGGCAGCTAATGCTATGGTCATAAGATCTAAGATTTTGGTTTAAGGGTTATTATTTCAAAGAAAATATTCAGTTGAACATCTGTTTGATACTGTTTCAGAATGTAGTTTTACTGTCTAAAAAAGTAAACTTGTTCCTCCAAGCTCATATCACAAAATAAAAAAGTAAAATGTTTTAAATCCAATATAACTTCAAAAGACCTAGTTTTCTAATCATGACAGAAAACTGATCAATTAACATTTGGGGGCAGTGGGAAGCTCATTCCTCGCCTAGAGTTATAAGTACAAATGGAATAACCTTGATCTACAGTTACTTTTATAAACTATAAGAGTTTATCTGTCAAAATTTATACACATTGTATACACTTCCTTAATGTTGAGATTTTTTTTTTTTTACAATAAGCTCAAACAATCTTAAAAGACAACAAAAGGAGGTTTCATTAACAAATATATATTTAGTAGCAAAACTGCTAATGCACCACAAGGTGGAGTCAGATATCCACAAATCCATGTGGCCAGTTTGTGACAGGAAATCTGAGCACATACAGAAGATGACCAAATACAGTAATGCCATTCATTCTGCCCTGCCTCTCAGTTATGTATTAAATCAAGTACTCAGATTTGGAAAAGGGAAAGCTAAGGCTGCTAATCTGTTAATTAGCAGCAAGCTTTTATGAAAATCCAAAGAAACTGTTCTTTTTTTAATACAAAGTATTAAAATAATCCCCTGTTATTTATTCTTAGAAAAAATGTCATTTTGGTTGAATTCTTTGTGGGTTCCTAGTATGACACATTGTGCTTAAGTTCTGATTTCACAGAAACCTCTTTATTCTCTACTTGTTTCTTCCAAGGGAGTTTCAAATTGAGCTGCAGTAAATGCAATCCTTGAAGTACATCTGGGTACTTGATAATTATGTCTGAGAAAACAATTCATTTGCTGTCATCTTAAACAAAAATCATGGTGAAGAGTATTTCAAAAGCTTTCAGGGGGGTTACTATTTAAAATACTATATATTATCACTTTGAGAATTCAAAGTCAAGAATTTTATTGAAAATGCAGGTGCAACCAGAAATTCATAAAAAATAAATTTGGGCTTGTTAATACTCAAAAATCTTTTTGTTCAAATAGATTTAAAATGTCTTAATTTATCTCTGTGTTGTTATTCACAAGTATTTTGAACGTCTATATTTAATACTATTACTATAATTTTTTATTTAAAAAACAAATAATTTATGCTATATCATTACAAACTAACTAGTATGTTATATTATTTTTTATAGAATCCTGCATTCATATATAAATGGAAGAAAACATGTTAGGGTTCCATTCCTTTACAGCTAAACAAGATTTTCCCCTAAAAGTTCCCATTCTTTTTCTAAGACAGTAATAGCTTTCCCCTATCTCAAATTTGCTACTAATCGTTTTAAAAATACTTTCCAAGATGTGAGTTAATTTAGATGTAGCCTAAATTTACTCAGTATAAAGTCAACTTATTTTCATTACTTTTTAAACTCTCATTCTAGAAAAACATTTTGTCATCCGACTGAATACAGTTGTACGTGTGTGTATGTGAGTAAATATAGTATTATCAGTAATAAAATGCAAATCCACATCTCTAAGTTCTTTTTGTTAATTCCTCACAACACATTAAATGTATAAAAATGTAGATTTAATATGGCTTGCAATTGCAAGATAACAAAGATGAGTTGATAAAATGTTTGATCCTGCATTTTCAATAGTGCCATTAAAATATTTTCTTTACAATTTAAATTCCTATGGTTTTTCATGGTTTAAGGATATCATGCAGAAAATATTGAGAAAGAGCAGACTTCAGTGTGACAGTGACCCCGGCTTACATGTGTCTGTATTCAAATTCTTATCATTACATATTTTCAAAAATAAATCTTACAGTGCTAATCTAGTGCTCTTTTTATCCCTTCATCTCCATATAGTCCACTCATTCAATCAAATAGCCTTCCGTACAACTAATTAATTGAATAACATGTAAGTTGGAAATTCAGCAATATCTTGTTCTGATAATACAAAAACAAAAGAACAGAAGCTCATCCCCAGTCTACTTGCCTGGGCTTCCTGAGGCATTTGAGCTGCATCCACTTTGTCGGCAATATAAGCTGCCAACTGCTTGTCAATGGATGAGAGGGACTCCTGAATTAAGTGCAAGGATTTTTCAATTTCCTGGGCAGACTGGATACTCTGTTCAAGCAACTTTTGCCTCCTCACAGCCTGAAGAAGAAATAAGAATGAATCAGTTAAATGTTTGCTCATTATTTCTCTGCAATCATGCTGCAAAATTAATAAAGATTCTAGACTCTTCCACAATCACCTTTTTGTAAGACAGATTTCGCAGCTTCCTGCCACTCATTCAGCTCTACTTATAAAAATAAAAATAAGTGATCAGAAAAGAGAAATAGCACACACAGCTACAGGATCAGGAATCTGCAGGACAAAACCACAACATTATGTGCATCGAGAAAAGAGGCTGCATAAAACATTAGTGAAATAATTCAGTCATTGCAATCTGTTGTTCTCAGGCCGAATGTTCCTCCTGACCTCATTACATAGTTCAAAGGATTTGGTTTACTTAGAATAGGGTCATCGTCATCACAATCCAATTCAAGACAGATAATCCACTTCTACCAGTGAGACACATATACAATCTGTTCAGAAACAGCTCCTTTACAAAAAGGAAATTTTAGATATCCATCTGGTTAAAGATTTATTTTAAATACTATTTCAACTAGTTTTGCATGGCCTCTTTTCCCCCTACTTTTCTTTCACAATTTGGATAATGGAAATTGCTTATACAATTGGATTTGTGTTCCTGCCAAAGTAGAACAAATAATAAGTAATCCCAATATAGCTGCAATTAATCTTGATTGCTACTATAAGTATGATTTTGAATAATTTAACACTTTTCAAGTATAAATACCATGCTGAACATGTCACAGAATCTCCCTTCAAGGATCTGTTCACCTTTAAAAGAGTAGTCATGAGAGTAAGAATTGGAATGGACAACTTTTCAAAAATTCTTTAATTAATGCAACAGATCAAGCATTTTCTCTTATTATACAACATATAGGTGTGATTATCTGGTACAGTAGAACTATGCTTCCCACAGACCATGATTGAGGATTTTAATGATCCTACTTTTTTATTATATAAAGACTGTTAGACCATTTGCAAACATTAACTCAAAATGGATTAAAAACTTGAATGTAAAACCACAAATGATAAGATATTTAGAAGAAAACACAGGGAGTAAGTTGCATGACATCAATCTTAGCCATGGCATTCTCATTGGACTCTAAAAGCAAGGAAAATAAAATAAATAAATAAACAAACAAATGGGACTACAACAAAGTAAAAAGGTTTTGCACAGCAAAGGACACCATCAACAGACTGAAAAGGCAACCTATCAAATGGGAAAAGATATTTGCAAATCATATATCCCATAAGGAGTTAATATCCAAACTATATAAAGAATGCATACATTTCAACAACAACAATCCAAATAAGGAGAGAATCTTAGTAGACATTTTTCCAAAGAAGACATACACATGGCCAACAGGCACATGAAAAAGTATTCAGTATCGCAGAAACCGGTTTTGCTCAGTGGATAGAGCATCACTGAAAGGTCCCATGTTTGATTCTGGTCAAGGGCATGTACCTTGGTTGTGTGCACATCCCCAGTAAGGGGTGTGCAAGAGGCAGCTGACTGATGATTCTCTCTTATTGATGTTTCTAGCTCTCTATCCCTCTCTTTTCCTCTCTGTAAAAAATAAATTAAATATATATTTTTAAAAAGGTATTCAGTGTCACTCACTATAAAGGAAAAGCAAAGCAAAACCACAATGCAATATCACCTCACACCTATTAGAAGGTAATAATCCAAAAAACAAGAAACAAGTGTTGGTGAGAATGTGTTAAAAAGGGAACCCTCATGCATTGTTGATGGAAATGTTCACTGTACAGCCACTCTGGAAAACAGTATTGAGATTCCTCTATTAAAAAATATAACTACCATATCTTCCAGAAATTCTACCTGTGGGAATTTATCTTAAGAGTATAAAAACACTAGCTCAAAAAGGTAGATACACTCTTATGTTCACTGCAGTACTATTAAGAGTAACCAAAATATGGAAACAACCTACGTGTCCATTGATGGATGAATGAACAAATTGTAAAATCCTGCCATTTGCAACAACATGGATAGACTTTAAGGTTATCAGGGTCAGTGAAACAAGTTAGATAGAAAATGACACTATCATATGATTTCACTCATAAGTGAAATATAAAAACAAAAATCAGAAATAAACAAAACAATAATATAAAACACATAGAGGCACGCAACAGATTGGTGGTTATCAGAGGGGAAAAGGAGCAAAACTGGTAAAGGGGGTTAATCCCATGGTGACAGCTGGAAAATAAACATTTGGTAGTGAGCAAATTATAATGCTGCACACCTGAAACTTATATAATGCTACAAATCAATGTTATCCCAATCAAAAATAAAAAAGAATATTAGGCATGACATAAACAATATAAATGTTAACTGTTGACTCTTAAGCTTAAAGGATATTGGGGATGTCATTATGCTTTTTAATAAAACCTGCTTGGAACACAGTGTTACTCATAAGAATTAGGCTAAAGGCATCTGGATCAAAAGGAAAAGGACCTGAAGTCTCATGATGCTTCCAAAGCAGGGAGAGCAGCGTCATGATTATTATAAATCTTCAGTATTTTGTCCTATGCTTTCCTTCCTTTTCATTCTATCTATATCCTTAGTTTCAATTACACTTCATATGCTGACAACTCTCAACTCTACATTTCTGGTCCAGATTTCCCCCTTGATTCCCAAACTTGAATATACAATATATTGCCCTACTTGACATTTCCACTTAGATTCCCACAGCTACCCAAATTGAGCGAATCAATGTGTCCAACCCCCACTTGGTTTTGCTCTTTCTCTGCATTTTTCTGTATTTCAGATATTTACAATTAATCATTGCTTTAGGCATAATTGCATTAAGAATTATTCTGATATTTCCTCTTCCTCTCACATCCTTCACCATGTTCATTTAATCAGTCAATGAATCACCAATTCTTTCATATACCTACTAATATTTCTTGCTTCCCCCCTTTTCTCCCTACCCCCACTATCTTTACTTAAAGCCATTACCATCTCTTCCTCAAATCTGGTACTAGTCTCTTGGCTACCAGCCTACACTGTCATTATCCATCTGCAAAGTAGCTAGATTGTGATCTTTCTAAAATGAAATTATGGCTTTCTGCTTAAAATCTTTAGTGATTGTTTTTCTTAAAGGTAAAACCCATAGCCTTAATATTATTTTGAAGTCCCTTCAGAATCTTTGCTGGCATATTCTACTCCTTGCTCTAACTATAGATAAAGTTCATTCTTTATCTCCGAGTACATATTATGTCCCTATTGACAGTTGGCTTTAAACATGTGGTTCCCATTTCCTAGAACAAGCCCATGCCCAACTTCCTTTTATTGGCATATTTACATTGATCCTTTGAGGCTGACCTTGCAAAAACGGACATCTCCCCTTTCAGGTGGCTGTCCAAGACACCTTATGATTTCTTTTGCACCTGTATTTATGTCTTAGCATGTATCACTCCATATCATAATTTTTAATTTTTTAAAACATTTATTCATTTATTTTTATTATAGTCTCACATAATTGTCCTTATCCCCCCATTTCCATCCCAAACCCTCCCCCCGCCATTGTCCATGGCCACTGGCTAGGCCCATATGCATGCACACAAGTCCTTTGGTTGATCTCTTCCCCTTACCCCCACCCACCCTTACTTTCCCTCTTGAGGTTTGAGAGTCTGATTGCTGCTTCTCTTTCTCTGGGTCTGTTTTTGTTCATCAGTTTATGTTGTTCATTATTTCCTCTAGATGTGCGAGATCATGTGATCCAAGAAATATATATTTTATTGATTTTTTACAGAGAGGAAGAGAAGGATAGAGAGTTAGAAACATCCATGAGATAGAATCATCAATCATCTGCCTCTTGCACAACCCCTACTGGGGATGTGACCACAACCAAGGTACATACATGCCTTTGACAGGAATCAAACCTTTCAGTCTGCAGGCTGACGCTCTATCCACTGAGCCAAACCAGTTTAGGCTCCATATCATAATTTTACATTAACTATCTGTCTCTATTTTAGCCTATGAGTTCTAGTGAGTATAGCAGTTATGGCTGTCATTTTCATTGCTCAATGACAGTTCTTAGTTATAATAAAGGCCAATAGATTTATGACTGGATGAATGATATAATGAGTACTGTTGTTGTTATTGTTTTTAATGAGGAAAACAAAGAAGTGTCCAAGTATTCAAAGAAAAAAAAATTTACAAAAATTGGGAGGGGGGAAACATCTGCACTCAGAGATATATCCTTTGGAAAATGACCTTCCTAGGTTTGTTTATTTTATTATTATTATTATTATTATTATTATTATTATTATTATTTTAGTATTAGATATATTAGAATAGGATGGGACATTATTTGGAACAAACTTATCTTTTTTAAAATATTCTATCCCAATCAGTGACCAAGGCATTGCCCTTTACTGTAAATCGAATATAGTTTCCTATTTTTTCAGACAAAAATTCACCTAGAATTTACATCACATATTAATTCAGATAACACTGCTCATGGCTATAATCAGAGCTCTCTATGTCATAGAAGAAAATGTCTATAGCCTACCAAGAGTTTCTCTAAGAAAGGAGTCTTTCATAATAAAATTTCACTATTGTGACAGGTGACTGAAGAAACCTTCCAATCACAGCATGTATAAATTGGCTACTCAGGCATTGTTGAAATTTGGTCCTTTATCTGGCTAAAGAAGAAGAGCCTACCCTTTTGTGCATATCTGTAGAATTGTAATACAATTGAATAGAATATGATATAGCATAATGTTAAATTGTGCATCTAGCCCCCAAATTATATTTTAGAAATTTAACTTTTCTATTCATGAGATTCTGTGGGGTGAAAGGAATGAAAAGGCCTAAGACGTGATGGCAGAATTAACCTTAGATGGCTTGGTTCTTTGCCTGGCCTGTCAGTCAATCAGAGAAACTGGTTTACACAGATTCTGTGGTAATCTCAGGGAGTGAAAAGATCTGATGTCAATCAAGCTTGCAGAATTCTTTGAATTAGTCATGGCATAAGCTGCCTTCTATTTCTAAACAT